TTTTAATATTATTATTTATTTAGTAGACGATACTATAAAGCTTAGCGATTTTTTATTAAAATTATAATTAAAAATACGCTTTTTAATAATAAAAAACGATAATATATTTATAAAAGGGGGAGCGCTACTTACGATTACCTTAATAAAAGCCTAAACTATTAGCTGTAAAATAATTAGTATATTAATATAAACTTTAACTAAACGGCTATTAAAATAGCGCGTATACCGGCCATTACTTTTTATAAAATAATAACTATTATCCTTATAATTAGTATATTAAAAAGCTATTTAAAAGCAGGGTATATATTAAATATCCCGTTCTTTAAAAGCCTCGCCCTTAAGTTTTTTAAGGACTAAGTATACGTTAAATAGGTCTTTATAAATAAAAAGAACTATATTTACTGCGGGGGGTACTTTTACTTCTCGGCGTTTTTTTTTTTTTATTTTTTTTTTATTTTTTAGCGCCCTTTTTATTAATAAAAGCGGCTACGAACTTATATTTTTTAAAATCTAAATAATATTAAATATAAATACTTAAAAAAATAGTATATAATATACCTTTTTTAAAGAATAGGTCGTCCGTATTTTTATCTTTATCGTTATCCTCCTCTTTTTTAAACTCTTCTTTACTTTTAAATTCTAAAATAAAAAGAAATAAAAGCTTATTATTAAAGCTTTTATAACTATTTATATTTTTATTATAGCCTATATTTTTATTACTAAAAAGAGCCTCGAACTCTTTAAAGTTCTTAGTATCTCTAGTAATAGCCTTAACGTCCTCCTAGTTAAAAAAAGAGAGCTTAATAATAAAGCTTTAATATATAAAAAGGATAAATTAGCGGGGGCGGAGAGGGGACTTAACTATAAAGGCCTCGTTATTATCGTTATTTAACTAAACTTTTAATAAACTATATAATATATATATAAATATATTATAAAAATTATATAAAATTTATTAATAACCGCGGATATATTAAATATTTATATTTAAAATAAAATTAATAAAGGATTTAACGGCGCTAGTATATACGCGTAGTAAATAAAGGTATATATAACGATTATAAAAAGTTAAAAAAATAAAAAAAAATAATAGCGAGATAAGGCCGCGAGATTTTAAATATATATAAAGTAAATAAATAGCTTCGCCTTTATTAATTTATATACTAAAAGTAGTAAACTACGTACTATTCTTAGTTAAGATTTTATTTACTTTAGATAAAGGGGATATTAATAATAAATGCGTTTTAAAAGACGTATATCCTTTACGCTTATTTTTTATTTATTTATATTTAACTAAATCGGGCCTTTATAAAGCTATTTAAAGGTCCTATTTTAAGCATAATAGCTCCCTTATAATAGTAATTAAGGGGTATATTACGTAATAAAGATAGGGACTATAATCTATAAAGTACTTATTACGTACTATATCACGTATATCTCATTTATATCCTATATATAGACCTTTCTCTTTTATCTATTTCTACTTTAATAAGTTAGGCCACTTTACTATACTCCGTATACCCATTGCTATATGCCATAACTCGTGACATAAAGCGTATGAGTTCGGGTAATGGTACAAACATGAGGCGACGGCGAAGAACCCAAAAGCATAAAGACAATTGTGATAGAGCTTTCGAGAAGTTGCCATCAAATCGATAGGTCGATAGACGCACAGAAGCGCTGTCGAAGCGTCAAACGTGCCGAGGCATGTGTTTTGACTGACGCTGTCGTTCGCATTCGCATGGTAGTGGAGGGACGAAGCAGCCAAAGAGAGGCTGGATCGAGGGGTTGAGGAGGCGTCAAGACGCTTTAAGACATGCGAGCCCCTGCATAGCATCCTCCACCAAGCACGAGATCGACGCGTGCACGCCCCGCTAGAAAAAAAGCCTCGGCATGCACTTTGCCTCAACAAAAATCCTCTGATCGCACGAGTGTCCATACATAAGATCTTTGCTGCCATCACGACCCCAGGTGTTAGGAGGTCTATCACCAACTCGACAGCAGATCACCGAAACTATGGCGGAAGAACTCGACATCCTCATTCTTGGCGCAGGCATCTCCGGCGTCAATGCTGCATACCGTGTGCGGACAGAGCTGCCAGACAGCACCTTCGCGGTGCTTGAGGCCCGTGACGTAGTCGGTGGGACGTGGTCTTACTGGAAATATCCCGGATTTCGCTCCGACTCGAACATGACGAACTTTGGCTTCGGATGGCATCCATGGCCTCATGACAAGAAGATTATCGAGGGCGCGCCCATTGCGGCTTACATCGAAGATGCTGTGAAGACACATCACATCGACAAGCACATCCGATTCCAGCACAAGGTGTTGTCTTCAGACTGGGACAGCGATGAGGCACGATGGACCCTCGAGTGCAACACCCCCGAAGGAATCCAGAAGATCAAAGCCAAGTTCCTCTTTGTTTGTTCCGGATACTATTCCTACGAGAAGGCCCTGGAGACACACATCCCCGGAATCGAGAGTTTTGAGGGCAAGACGATCCACCCTCAGTGGTGGCCCGAAGACCTTGACTACACTGGAAAGCGCGTCATCATCATCGGCTCTGGCGCCACCACGATGACCTTGTTCCCCAACATCGCCAAAACAGCTGGCTTCACCACCATTCTGCAGCGCAGCCCATCCTATGTTTTCGCATTAGGTGCAGAATCACCAGTCGACAAAGCAGCGAAAAAGTTCTTACCTTTGTTCTTGGCGAACTGGTTCATCCTGCTCAAGGACCTTCTCCTAGAGACCGTCTTTATCCAGATTGTTTTGGGCTTCCCCAACTTAGCCAAGCAGTTCCTTCGATTCGATGCAAAGCGCCGGCTCCCAAAGGACTATCCCGTCGATATTCACTTCAAACCCAAGTACAACCCCTTCGAGCAGCGCCTCAACATGTGCCCGGATGGAGATGTTTTCAAGACGCTGCACCAGCCCAACACAGAAATTGTCACGGACCACATTGAGACGGTCACGAAGGATGGCATTCTCACCAAATCCGGTCGTCATCTGCCCGCCGATATTATTGTTACGGCAACTGGACTGCATGTGCAGCTTTTCGGAGGTACGGACGTGACTGTTGATGGCGTCCCCGTCAAGGTTGGAGAGAAGTACAGCTGGCGCGGATGCATGCTCGACGGTGTGCCCAACGCGGCTGCAATCATCGGCTACGTCACTCAAACCTGGACCCCTGGCGCCGATACCGTGACCCGGCTCTGCATCCGTGTCATCAAGCAGATGCAGAAGACCGGTGCTGTTGCTGCCACCCCCGTCTTGTCGGACGAGGAGAAGAAGAATTCGCCCAGGTTGCCTTGCGTAGATGCCACATCCAACTACTTCACCCGCGCGCACGGTCGAATGCCTGTAGTGACTAACCAGGGACCTTGGTATGGAAGAAAGAACCTTATCGTGGATAAGCTGGCGCTATGGTTCGGGAGTGTGACGGTAGGCATGGACTATCGCTTGGCAACGAAGTCGAAGGACATTTAATGATTACGAGAATAACGAGCCATGTATATTAGTCTACCTGGTCGTCGGCATAGAGTTGAGAACGCACAATTTAAGGTTCCTTGGCAAGCTGAGAGCCTCCCGTATTTTGACCGTCTCACCTAACATCTCGCGCTGATCATGTATTCGCCGTGATTCCGATCAGCTGATTTGCCGGCCGTTGCGAGGGCATAAGCTGCCCTACGTTGTGCTCAAAGGTGAGGCGAGACGTGACTCCTGTGCTCACCAGGGCTATACTTCAGACTTGCCTCACCATAGAAATCGCTTGCCACAGGTAACGAGAAAGCTCAGCTTCTAGGGTGGCACTGGATCCTTTTGGGCCTACCGACTTAGGTAAGCTACTGATTTCAGAGGAACGAACAAGGGACTGTTTTCTTGGTCTCAGCGTTGATCCTAGGAACATCAACCAGGCCCACCAGTCGATCGGTAATTTGTTGCGGCCGATCAACAGCGAGTTCCTTGGATAACCTAACTACTCATCCAAGCCGAATGTTCCTAAGAGATATGCATAATATATGTTACTAAGTGGAGTGAAGAAGACGCGGCAAGTTTGTGTCTGTAGGAACCTCGTGTGCACGGTCACGCAGCCGCTGGGACACTTTTGGGACAGCTCAAGACGCAAAACGAAACGTTGCAACGCAATAGCGGGATGGCGGCAAAAATCCCTGGCACGGGGCCGTCTCGGGAGGTCTTCAGGATCGACATAACCCCAGTTTGCAACTCGCATCTTTATTTGCCATCCCAAGGACCAGTTTCGCTATTTCAACTGGAAGATCGTGATGACGAGTTGTCTCTCGCTAACGAGCCAAACGTGGCTGTGGTGACCTACTTTCAGGTCTTCTGGGTGAGGGACACTAGAATGATTCATGTGAGAGAGAGCCAGACCTATCTCATCCGTTCGCCGTCCGAGCACTCGTGCCGCATGAAATGCAAGAAATGAGGCTCTGAGCACGGAATCTCAGGCTCCCGACAAGTATCGCTTCACCCGATGTTTCTTCATCCAACCCGCAGCCTTTCCGTGCGGGGAGACCCCTCATCGCGCATATCCTACTGGACGTGCTGACCAGGTTGGATTAGCGTAAACAAACTGGGCCACGAATCCCACCCAACGAGCCGACGAACCTCTGCCCCTGTTCGAGGCCTCCCCGCGGCAAGAAAGAAATGCGATTCGCCTGATACTCGAAACGTCTTCGCAATGTCCATCAGAACCACACCACAGAACGCGAGCACAGTAAGCAAGCACATACCCAAAATCGTTCGCCAAGGCGAGACGAAAGTGCCGTTTCGAGATGGAAATAGAGTCTGCGTTGCCAAGAAACGTCAGCGGGATGCCATTCGATATCCACAACACCGGCTCTGCGGCAGCAGAGCGTCTCGGGAGTTTCTAAGCTTGCTGGTCTAGTTTGTGGCGATCCGAGGCATCCGCCCTGTTGGGTCATGAGAAATGTTGAAATAGCGGTATTTGTCCACCCATCTTTCCATCTTTCGACGAACTCTCTATCCTCAGTGTCCTATTTCTGTGCCGGTCCACTCTATATATCCATTCTTCATATACGAGCTGCGCTCATTCAAATCAACGTACAAAGTTTAATCATTCATTCAAGTCAATACCGCCAACATGCGCTTCTCCGTCGCCCTCACTACTTTAGTCGCTGCCGCCATGGCCGCACCTCTCGATACCCTTGCTGCCCGTGCGGACGAGCTCAACGCCGCCATCCAGGCTCTCGCCGCTGAGAACCCTGAGGATGCCGAGGCCGCCAAGGGCCTCCTGGGCCGTGACATCAACCCCAATGTTCAGCTCACAAACGATGACGAGCAAGAGGAAGTCTTTAAGCGCGGGGACGATCTCAACGCCGCTATTCAGGCTCTCGCTGCTGAGAACCCTGAGGATGCCGAGGCCGCCAAGGGTCTTCTGGGCCGCGATATCAACCCTAGCGTCCAGCTCACCAACGACGATGAGCAGGAGGAGGTTTTCAAGCGCGATATTGACCCCAACGTCCAACTTACCAACGATGATGAGCAGGAGGAGGTCTTCTAAATACAAGTAGCCATTAGGTTAGCTTGAAACCGAATACTCTTTCGGCTTAAATCAGTACACCGGAAACTGAAAGCGAAAATACCTCTTATTTTTGATTGCTGAATAGAAGTCCAATTAACCCAGTGGGACTGCGTACTTGTACCAATGACCGAGAGTGTGATCTGTGGCCTAAAAAGTCATTTACTACAAACTAGTGCTAACTATGGCTACGGGAGATCTTCACATCTTATGTCCGAACCAGATTTACTAAAGTTGAATGCTGGTTATGGTATCTTGAGGTATTGGGTAGACTTCACTTTGCGGTGGATTCGCAGGCACCGACACTGATAACTTCATTGTTAGACGGGGTAGATACAGGTGATGAAGAAAGACGAAAGGCTGCGTCAAAGGATATGCGGTTCATCTGAGTCACATGAGAAGCAGCCAACAGTTTACTGACTTGATTTATTATTGGTGTAATGCTGCGAGACTCGATGCTGATTCTATTTGTGGCCAATGTTCCGGCGACTTGATATTATGGTCGAGTTGGTGCCGAGGCCGTCATCTAAATTCCTAGCCTTGTCTGATGACTACTTAGGTAAGTACATTATGTCTATACAGTACTCATAGTGAGATGCGTTTATTGATGTGTCCAGATTTCGACGCGGGTCCCTTCGGAGTGAGAAGGCTGCCAGATTGCCGGCCCAAGTGTCCTCGTGGTAGTCGTTACATTCGATGTATTCTGAAACTAAGACCCGCCATGCTTTTTGGATCGGCAATCGCATCCACGTACGCATTCTCGGAAAATTTCATCGCCGGCAATCGCGGTAATGCCGCAGAGTGCAGGGCAAAGGGCTCTCAAACTCGCCTTCGATCAGGTTAGAAGTTGGCAATGTATAATGCAGTGATGGGATTACCTACGTGGATACACATTGCTGATGTTGTGACGGTTGTCATAGCCCCGTTAAATTCCTCTGCCGAAATGGAGTCTGTCATCGCAGTCGGAAGCGTATGGCTGGTTGCTGCTTGGCCAGTTTCTTTAACGTCGGCTGGAAATGCCATGCCGGGAGTGATCAAGGCGGCAGCAATGAGCTGAAAGAAGGCTGACAGATGCATATTGACTAGTCCAGAATAGATGGGACTTTGTTGAATGTTCAAGTTCGAATTACGGGAGATGTATGAGGTAGTGAATTGTTGTATTTTGTGTGCGATTAGGAAACGAAATCGTGGGTGCGAAATGAAGCTTGATCTGCACATTGCAAATTGCTCCGTCACTTAAATGTTTTGGGCTTGGATGGGCCAGGATTGCTGCGTAGAAGAATTATGTTAGGTTCGGAGATGGATGCGTCAGGGCTTCGTGCGTCCAAACTCCCTTGATGGAAGGCACTCCGTCAAGGTGTAACTTTATCCTCTAAGCAGAACCTTGACCATACGCTGAACATACCTGGATGGTCTTTGAATAGCTTAGAACAAATCAGATCTCGCTCAAGCTTCCAACAAGACGTGTTGTAACTACAATTAAGATATTTAATGTTATCGTGCGAAGTGCTTGTCAATGTTTTACATTTGAGATGTGATGAACTATCAGAGAGCTACTTGGGAAAGCTTATTCCTTGCTTTCAAGGAACAGGTTGAGATGTTGTGTATAGAGCTCTGGGTACTGGAATAGATGACCGTGGCCAGCGTCAGGATAAATGATGAGTTGAGCATCCGACAAGTTTTGTTGAAGAGTGAAGCTGTTAGAAGTCGGCGACATAATGTCAGTGTGGCCGTTGGTGACTAAAGTGGGAGCTTTGATAGTCTTCATGCGCTCAAAGTTGTCCGTGTCAACCGTGAATGAGAAAATGGCGTTCAGTTGGGCCCTTGCTCCTGGTCCAATCAAATATTCTCTGCGCTCCTCGCCGTCAACCTTTCGCTCATGGATTCGCTCCCACCACGCTTCGCCAAGTGCCAGGCTCGTATCCGACGGATAGTAGAAAAGACGAAACATGTCCTCCTTGGTGGGCGGCTCGTCGTTGGCTGTTCCGGCACTTTCTAGAACCTCGCGGGGTGGCAAGACAACTCCTTCTCCGACACCTGGTTGAGTCCCAGCCAGAATCAACTTTCGAACCAGCTGAGGATAGTCCCATGCCAGAATTTGAGCCACACCGCCTCCCATGGAAAAGCCAATGACATCAGCTTTGGAGACACCAAGGGCAGAGAGAAATTTGGCCGCAATTGAAGCCATTACTTCAGTGGAAGGAGGCACCTCGCCCTCGCTGTGCCCGATACCGAAGCTGTCATACACAATGACCTCTCTCGATTTCGCAATCGTGTTGAAGAGAAGAGGGTCTAGAGTATCCATTGAACCACGAAGATGGTTAATGTAAAGCAAAGGGATCTTGCTCTTTACGCCGATCCGGCGGTAAGCAACTCGGGTCTTGTCAACGGCGACATATTGAGTATGGACTGTTTGATAGGTGGACATTTTGATAATGAGCAAAGGTCGTGTGAATCGTTATTGGACTGAATTTTGGATAGTGAATGGTAGTTGCTAGTTTGCATTCTTTCAATGGTAGAGATGGGTTTCAAACTCCCGTCCTTCTTCAAGTCGACTTTATAGACAGCTTCTCTATTCTGTTGCCTCTTTCGCCTCCAAGGGCACTGCTAGATGATTTCCCAACTTTCCGGTAGAGACTCCGAGATATGTCATCCTTTCCGACTGGAGAAATCGCCCTCGGAAGCTCTGACATGGACTAGGGCTCATGGTTAGTACGAACGGCTTGTCGCCCCCCTCACAAAAGCCTCCTCACCCAGCTGTTGCGCTTGATTACTCAATGGCACAGATGTGAACGGTACCCAAACTTCGGATCCGGGGCAATGTGGAGCCATCTTAAGGTACGGACCGATGTGTGGGGTAATTAATCAGTAATCGTTCCGGATGGAGTGCCGGAGTAATCTGGACCCGCCGGCTCCAAGACAATTTCTAAGCGGACAGGCGTAGACGGAAGAACGAAAAGAGACTAAGATGTCAATCTCTAGATCCTGTAGATGCTGGTAGACAGCGACTTCAACTCCCCAGAATGTGTCGATTCCGACTGGAGGAAATGTTAAGTAATCATGCGCGCGGCAAGACATCGTAATATTGCGGAGTGTCTTCCAACATGGATGCCATTAAAGATACAATAAAAAGCCTTTCAGTTACGATTTGAACACGCAAACTCCCGTCATAACTTTCCCTACTCGCTTTCCACCCATTGTGCAAATACTAGTACTTACAAAAACCAAACAAAGCTGTTGCCATAAGGCTCAATCATATCATAACATACAACCTTTAGCCAGTACAAAGCCTTTTGGAAACATCTTCGAGATTATCTGGAACGCTATCGGAATGGCTCAGACGATGAAGGCTTACCAGTTCTCAACCCCGGCAAAAGGCCTAGAGTACTGTGAGCTACCCATTCCGGTCCCGGCCAAGGACCAGCTCCTTGTCCAGATCAAGGCGACCGGGCTTTGCCACACCGATTGCAACATAATTTCTGGACTCGACAATACGTTCTTCTGGAACAGGCCCATCACTCTAGGCCATGAAATTGCTGGTGTAGTGGTGGGTTGTGGACCTGAGGTTTCGAAGTTTGCCGCTGGAGACAAAGTCGTGTCTGTAATCACCGCGAAACACCCGGTAGAGATCGGAGATGTTGTCAAAAGCCCCGGCATCGGCATAGATGGTGGGTTCGCTGAGTACGTTTTACTCTACGAATCGAAGACCCTGCACATACCCGACGGAGTCAGCTTTGCGCAAGCCGCCGTTGCCACGGACGCCGTTGCGACAGCCTATCATGCCGTTGCAACTGAGGGGCAGATTCAAAAGTCATCGAAAGTTGCTATCATTGGACTAGGTGGCCTTGGGTTATCCGCAGTTCAGATTGCATCTCACCGTGGCGCCAAGGTCTATGGGGTTGACCTCCATCGTCGCAAATATCCTGCAGCACTGTTGTCCGGGGCTTATTGCTGCGGGAGATCCCTGGATGACTTCCCTGGCGTCAAGTTCGATATTGTTTTCGACTTTGCCGGAGTCGGCATCACCACCGCTGCTGCCGCCAAAGCCGTCAAAGCGGGTGGAAAAGTTGTTCTCGTCGGGCTAACCAAGAAGGAGGCCACGATTGACACGCACAACTTCGTCGCCTTGGGCGTGCACCTGGTGGGATCTGTTGGGTCATCGATGGACGAAGTTGAAATGGCGCTGAAAATGGTTGCAAAGAAGGAAATTACTCCTGCTATCGAGGAGGTTGCGTTTGGGAATTTGAAGGATGAGCTACACCGCCTAGAACGAGGTGAAACCGTCGGGCGTCTGTATGCCGACCCATCCAGATTAGTTGAGAGGGTGGTGAGAGCCTAGAAGTTGCGAATCTGAAGATATTGATTCAACCATTCTGTGATCGAGTCCGAGTCCAGTCACGCGGGAAACTCCTGTAAGATCATCCTCCCCCTTTAGTTCCGAGTGACTTTCTCCTGCTCCAGTATGTCCAAATTGCTGAACGGTCGATTTCGTTACTGATGTCTCCCTAGCGGATCGAGAGTCTTGGATTTGATTATCGAGGATTCTCAGGAGATTGCACCTTGTGCTCAGCAAGAGTGACGACCCAAATCAGAACCCTGCCGCACCCCTTGGAGCTCGTCTAATTTCGTGGTGAGCCTGGCCCTCAGTCGCTACTCATTTTCTCTAGAACGTGGGAGCTGCGTAGCCTGCTGTGAATGGTGTGAAAGAAGGCTTGGTTGTCAGGCACCCAGTCCGTCCAGATGCAGTTTCTGGTGCATCTGTCCGCCTGCTTCGTTTCCACCTGATGCTGGATATCTTACAGAGCTTAGGCGGATCCCGTGACTGCTTAAAGATTCGGACGATCGTTGAAATTGTCTTAGCCGGCTACTCCCCTTGATTCTCACAGAGGGCTTCCAGGTTCGGACGCTGTGGCAAGAGCGTAACGCGACAAGCGTACGAGCGAAAGAAGGAAGGTGGCATCAAGGGCTCAAGTTCAAAGGGGATGCTGCAGAATATCAAGCAGATTCCAGTCCAATTATTCTCGCAACTCAAGGCGGAGAATTTCCCGGCAGATTTCCGAAGGCACCTGGATGAAGGCTGGAGAGACTTCTCGAAGCCAATCACGCCAAATCAATAAAGCTTGGCGACTCAAGGCGCTTGCGGCTGCTGCTTCAGCCTTTAGGGCCATCCCGCCGGCACATATCTCTAGTAACAGTACCTGGAGCAGTGGAGTATGTCAAGACGCATGCTAAAATTGTACCTCCTGAACACGACGCCGTGGCACCGAGGTCACCCGGCAGTGGCGGCATTGTACTCGGACTTTTGATCTATCACAACAAGCTTATGGGCTAAGGCCCAGGGGAGGGGTTTCAGTGGGTTGAGGTCACCGACTTCTGGATAATTTTACTGCAATTGGAATCGCGTGCGGACATGGCCCTTGCTTCTCAAGCAGAGCTCTCGTCCCGGGAGATATGACGCCACACTTGAGGATTAATCAGCCTCTACGGCAGGGCCTCGACAGTAAATAAGTGCTGCTCCATGGCCGAAACGGCTTGGGCAGTCATGAAGGTCTGTATTGAGAATGAAATTAGCAGTTTGCGGCCCGCAAGCCCCCGATATCTGGACGAGATTTTACGGTCTTTCAATGATCAAAACTTGCTTTCATATTTGGGGCGGAAACTGGTTCTTGGAGATGGCCTGTTCCTCCCCCTTGAAATCTCCAAGATGCTGCTAATCAGGAAATCTGCGCAGCACTCTCCATAGGGGTAGTGTATGTGTGTCCATGCCTTGACAAGCGGTGTTTATCCAGATTCCATCTGTGAAATCGCGTTAGATGCATGCAATTCATTCAGTCCTGATCTAGGGTACAGTGACACATTCCATAAATGGCAATATTTGGCGTCGTCTTCATGGCGAAGGCCGATGAGGCTTGCTCTCTCGCCGGAGACTTAAGAGGTATGATCAGGAATCCTCGCCGCAAATCATTAACATGCGACAAACCGTCTGAGCATACTGAGTCGCCTGTCTGTAATCCTAATATTCCCAAGTGCTTATCTTCCACAGCAGACTTTTCGTATTTAGGGCAAACAATCTGCGGTTATTTGGCCTGGCACTGAAGCTTTGCAGCCCGCGAACGTGGATGCTCTTCCTGCGTCAGACTGACAGTGCTGTTCGAACAACGCAGTCACGGACGGCACATGAGAGCTAGTGCCGTGAATGGATACATCGGCAACATGTTTAATCTGGTTAACTCCCCGCGATATCGGGAAGAGTGCCACATCAGCGCCGGGATTGGCTTCCTCTGGCATTTGCTCCGTGGCCTCTCGATGCTCCCAAGTCAAAGGGGAACGCCGTGGCCACCAAGTGCGGGGGATAAGTTCATTCGATGCTTAGTTAAGGTACAACACAGAGCAGACCAAGCTAGCAGTTCTCACTGAAAAGGGAAGGTGATGATTTCACACGGTTCAGACCAGAGGGGCATTTGTAAAGTGTCCTAAGTTCGTTAGAGCGAAGCAATGCTTGTGTCTGGGAATCTACATCTCAGGCAGTTGCTCATTCCGGCACTTTTCGCATGATATAAAGTGCCAATGCGTCTCACGATGCTGTGGCCCAAACTTCAAGGACCCGGATAGTTCACCACGTCACAAAGGCTCTCGCGATGTCTTTCTCCGTTCTCGGACTGCTCATCCGCTGTATTCTGGAGATGCCTAAGACACTAGGCCTGCGTCTCGGGACCGACGCATCACTATTCCCTTGGCGATGAACTTGAGTCAATCGATCTTGGCCGCAGATTTGTAACGGCTTGTCTACGCAACCTTTGATGGCCATTTGACCCTAGCATGTCTGGCCGTGTAGACCTTATTTGCAGATGTCAGTGAAGATCAGCACCTTTGTCAGTCATTTGAATCACAGGTGCCCGCTCATTGCCCTCCAATCATCTCATCGTGACCCGGAGGCTGAGATTGTCACCCGGTAAAACGGGGTAATTGTGCACAAACATCAAGTTTGATGCTCCTTGGTTCAGGATCTTGAAGACTGAAGTCTGTCGTGATACTAGTCCGATAGCATCGATAGCTTAGACCCCTGGTTCTGTCCCTAATGGGGCCAATACCAACCAACTCTAGAAGTGACGAGTCCCACCCAGATTGGCCGAGGCCCGATGTTTAAAAGTTACAAGTCCCACTCGGCGGGGATGTGCAGAGCTGGAAGTGGATTCAATGTCAGTGGAAATTTCGAGGCGTGGATGAGGTTAAGAAGAAAAAGCTTCTCAGCGGCCGCAGTAAACCCAACTGGAAGACTTGTCCGATACACTGAATGCGTGAAAAGTGTATCATTGGACGATTCATCGTGGAGAGTCGGAAAGGCTGCGGAAGAAATCGTCGAAGAACCATTCGGTCTTCGGTCACTAGTAGACCCCGCCATTGAGCCGTCTGTGAGTGGCACTGAGTGCGAGCCGGCACGGCCGAATCCAAGAGCAATGGAGCCGATCGCCAGTTGTGGTTGCAAGAATCCGAGACTAGAACTTTTGGGTGGGCTCATGTGCGGAGCACGTCATGAATATCTTACCAACCCCAAGACTCTGCGTTGCTGGAGGGATCACACACCTGTAACCTGGCATTGTCTGGCACATCAAAGTCGCACAACATCGTAGTCTACCCAATTCATTCTCTCGCCGAGGAGAAATGCGGAGCAATCCATGCGACAGTGTGGCTCAGCGGTGAGTCTACAATAAGCTTCCAAGATGCGCCAAGCTACACAAACTCTAACCCTGCGAATGCGAAGGGCCTCAAGACTGAAGGTGGTCGACTTGACGGCCCTGACGCCGACTCATGACCCTGTGAAGAAACGTCCGAACTGACCACTCATCGTTCAACTGCAGTCCATTCCAGGAACTCGGATGGCGCCTAAATGATGGGCCCTCCCCCATTGCCTGGGGAGTTGAGGCAACTCGTCCGTCCTTCTCCCACATCCCGATGAACGACTCCCAGCGCAACGGTTCAGCTCATGGGATTAAGTCTAAATCTAGCAGTGCATTCACTACCACCTGGAGCCCCTAAACTTTACTTTTAGGGGGACATGGAGAGATCCGATGGACAAGTCGGAGGCCGCGAAACACAGCAGACCGGCGGAAACTGCCGAAAAATCGGGCGAGCTCGTCATTCATGGCCATCCCAGGCCTACATCATCGCACATGATGCAGCAGCAATCTGCATCAAGAACCTTGCAGAAAATACCTCAATCCTAGCCTATCGCAAGCTATCGACAGGTGGCATAGCTCGTGGAGGGGCGGCCCAGCTTGTCAAATATAGGCCGGGGCCTTTTCGAAAGCCACGTTGATCCCCACGGCACAATGGCTAAACGGACACCCAAAACAGACGGTGGTAAATCCAGAGGTGACATCCAAGCCGCATGGAGCATAAAAAGAGGGTAGTGGGGCAATGACGGGGCGCTCTAACGGGATGGCTACCGAAATGAACCTCTCGCGATGCTTCTACGGCAGCCTCATGCTCGTATAGCCCTCCAAATCTTACAGAACTCTCCCTCTGCTCTAGCCCTTGGCGGCTTGGCGAGGAGGGGTAATCCTTCGGCGCTGTTTATGATTATTATTCAGATGGATAAGATAATCTAATCAGATCTGCAGTGTGCGTCGCATTTCCCGTCACACAAGTGCCCCTCCATCGCAACGGCGAGCGTCTTCGGCGGTGGATGGCATTACCGCATACGCTCGGTTTAATTACCTAACGAGCAAGAGAGGAAGGTTAGATGAAGAAAATAGCCGCCGTTAACCCCACGGCAACTACCTTGACATGTAGGAAAAGACGATGAAGAGAGGCACAAGCCTCTTGGCGAGATCTGGCCCTGCCCGGCATTCGTGGGATGACAGGAGGGAAGAGAGTAAATAAAAGAGACAGCTTCCCCTCCAGCCCCTCGTTGGATATGACGCCTCTTCACACCATTCGGAAATGTCTGCATCTGCTTTCATAGATACCCCTTTCAGTTCTTATTTGTCTTCCAAAATGGCCGCACCACAGCCAACTATTGACGACCTCGCTGCCAAGATTGGCGAGCTCTCGGCCGAGTTCACCAAGTTTCTGAGCGACAACAAGATCCCTCAGCCTACTTTTGCCGCGGACAGCGTCTCAAGCTACGATGGTCTCACATCAGAAGCCTTCTTGCTCCGTCAGAAGCTGTTGGATGCCGCCAACGATCTCTCATACCTCGTCTCAGGACCGAGTGAGAGCATCTTCAACTACACCCACAACGTCAGCTATTTCTAGTCCTTTTGCCCAATTTCTTCGTTTTGGTGCAGTGACTTAGATGACTGACCCTGAGTAGATGTCTCCGGATGCCGCATCGCTCAACACCCTAAACCACTTTGACTTCTGGTCTGCCGTGCCCATCGATGGCGATGCCTCGTACGCAGATATTGCAAAGCACGTCCGCCTGCCCGAAGAAGTTGTCCACCGTGTCCTCGACCACGCCTACACCCTGCGCATCTTTGAAGAGACTGATCCCGGCAAGCCCTTCACAACTCGCGTCCGTCACACCTCGCGATCTGCCGCGCTGCTGAAGAACGCCGGCCTCAGGGCGCTGGTTGAGGCTCTCATGAACGATGCTGGCCCGGCCATGGGCGTCCTTCCCTACGCGCTGGAGAGGTACCAGCGCGGTAAGACAGAATTGAAGGAGGATATGACAGAGACCGCATTTGCGCTGTACCACTCTGGCGAACTCTGTGGCGGATACACAAACTCGTGGGAGCTCCTGGAGAACGACGGCGAGGGCGAAAACAAGGGCTTCCGCCAGAGAAACTTTGTCAAGTGGATGAACTACATCAAGGAGATCTTCCGCTTGGAGGGGTTGGTCAACAGTGCCTACGACTGGAAGGCCGCTGGCGACTTCAGCGTTGTCGATGTAAGTTGTTTCTCGGGCTTTAGTGGTGCATTATCCAAGTATCTTGGAAAAACATTGACTGACACTCCTTTCACAGCTCGGCGGCTCTGGTGGCCATGACAGCTTCGTTCTGGCGAAGAACTTCCCCAACCTCAAGATTACCGTCCAAGACCTGCCCAACTGCGAGACTTCCTTCAACCAAAACATTCCCGAGGAGCTGAAGGGCCGAGTCAACTTCCAGCCCCACAGCTTCTTCGAGCCGCAGCCCCTGTCCGCCGACTTGTACATGATCAAGCTTATTCTCCACGACTGGCCCGATGCGGAGTCTATCAAGATTCTCAAGGGTCTCACGCCGGCACTGCGCCCTGGTGCCCGGGTCCTCTTTATCGACTATGTCGGCAAGCAGGGTGACGTCGAGGAGAACGCCGCGGCGGCGGCGGCGCTGCCCAAGTCTATCCAGCAGATGGGCACTTCGACGGATCTGAGAATGATGGGTCTATTCAGCGCAAAGGAGAGACCTGTCGACGCATGGACGGAGTTATTCAAGAAGGCGGACGAAAGATACGAGATCAAACGTGTTGAGGCCAACCCCTTGACTTTCTTTGTCATTATCGAGGCCGTTTGGCGCGGTTGAGGCGGTTGTTTATTGGAAGCACTGTGAGGAATGATTTAGAGCGCGTCATCATGTGAATATGAAACAAAAGTTCTCGATTCTCACATCTACGTCTATTTGTGTTTGTGATCCCGTCATTCATACGAAGTAGATGCTCATGACATTGTCCTAACTCCCCGGTTAATTCGGCTTGAGACAGAACCCTGTCACGACGTGCGTGGGCGGGCCTGGATCTTGGCTGTCCCACATGCCCGTGTGGATTGCTGCTCCCCTTGCAAGTTGCACCTGTCCACCAACCCACCAAGCCCTATCGCTTCGTGATGCCCTCCACACAACTGTCTGACCATTCAGATAGTGTGTTTGGTCGGGCTGAGTCATCAAGCAAATTGGTCTGGTGGTGTAGTTGGTTATCACGTCAGTCTAACAGTTCGAAAGCCTTTCGGCTCTCTCGTCTGCCACACTGAAGGTCTCCGGTTCAAGTCCGGGCTAGATCAACATATGGGCGATTGGTTTAGTGGTATAATGACCGCTTAGCATGCGGTAGGTCCTGGGTTCAATTCCCAGATCGTCCATCCTTTTGCTGGTTAGATGTCTCCTATTATTCTTTTTAACGTTGAGGGTATCGTGAGTTCATAATCCCGGTCACTGAGGTGCGACGGAGGCCAGAAGCTGCCGCTGACTTGGAATAGACACGAATCGTGAGCTGACTCTTTTCCTGGGTTCTAATTTTGTTAATCTTAGCTCTGGTCGTGTTTGTCTTTAATCCGAGAGGATATTGTTTGAAAACGTCAAAGGTGGTCACCAGACCAGACATTGCTGCAGGGAGCTCCGCATGGTGATACAGCAGGTTGAGACCCGTCTAAATGTTTGCCTGTCTGCTCTGGAGAGCATTTGATTGGGTCACTTCAATTGTTCTCGGGTTGGGAGAGCATCTCGTTCTGTCTTGTTGCTGTTCGCGCGTATTCGAATGGCATGATGGGGTTGAAGATGGCCAGCCGTCACCCAAGAACTTCATCCGATCCGCCAGGATTGGTGTTCAGCAGTGGCTTCCGGGGGTAGGTCGCATGCGCCGGCGCTGTTCTAGCGCACTTATCAATGCAACAGGGCACGGAACAGGCTAGGTATTAAGACGAACTAGCAAGGCCTCGCGGCGACCTACAGGTGTACAGTGAGACTGGAGACTGGGATGAAGAAGATACCAATGAACGAGATCAAATGAGAATCCATCTTATTAGTTAAGACACAGTGAGCGGGTGGATGTCACCGGTGAAATGGCACGGCGCTGTCGACAGCAGCTCTTCGGCACCTTGCATGCAAGTGTTCACCTGCTTATGTGGCCCGAGATAGATGCTTTCTGATTGCTCAAGACAATGCCTTTCTGCACTTGGCTTCCGTCGAACTCGAACACTCGGTCAAAGGGTGGATCTTAAGTCGGGACAAAGAAATCTAGACAATCAGGTCACGGGCCAAAGAAGAGGAAGCCTGGAAGGATAGCAAATCCAGCTACTTACATGCATAGAAACGTATTGTGTAAAAAGAAATAAGCTTCCATCTCTCGAGTGCACAATCCCTAGCTTGATTACCGTCTCAGAACGTCCCGAGCATCTTGTGCTAATTTACGGTCATCATAACCTAAGATCCATCCATAAGGCCGAACACCTTATTGCAGCATAGAACTTTAGATGCTAAGGAGAGGAAGCAGGCTTGGAAGATGGCCTCGGGCCAGCCACCCTCCACATCTTCCACATGCTTCATCTAGCGCGAATCCTTAGTGCAAATGGCCTTGCTCAGCGTGATTCCAGGCTTCTTCCCGGCTAACCCTCCTCTGGTATTAGTCTTCCGCAGCCACGATTCTTCACCTTGGACATGGGCGCTCATCTAACCTTGGGTCGCATTTGCCAATAAAGGGAAGCTTATTCCCCAATCTCTCGTTTGTCATCTCCATCGTGCCATTTCCCCTCCCTTTCACTCTTCTCATACTCACAGGCCGACATCGTCGAGCCTGAACCCCGATCCCGACGCTCTAGATCTGCAGTTTCGTTTCTTTTCAACTTGCCCCGCGCTGTCGCGGCTGCTGTGCCTCTCTCCCGCGAGGCGTTACCAAATTATCGGGTCCGCGACGAACGAGAAATGACAAAATAGCGACAGGGTCTACGAATGCGTCAACCAACGACAGAATAGAAGGGAGAGCCAACAGACAGCGGCTCTCAAGCACTGTCGAGGCATAGTCAACACAAGGCCTATGTTATTTGGGCGCCGGAAAGCGCAGTTCAACAGGGGATAATTGATGGCAAGCGACAATAGAGCCAGGAAACGAGGGCTTTAATCACATCAGCGACGAAGCAGACATACATGCATCTTTGACGGCCCCAAGTACTTGCCCTCTCTCATGCCCGGAACCCAGTACGACCGCCTACAAGCGAAGCAAGTTACCAAGCGGCGCAGCAATAGCAAGGACGAATCGGGGGTGCGCCAGTGAGACTGTTGGAACGGCCCGGGACGGGCGACGGGACGATCTGTCCTACGCGTGGAGGACAAGAGATTCGGGGGGAAATGGCCAGCCTCGGGCCTAATCAAGTGGGTTTGGGTGAGGATCATCTGGGATCCATTCCAGGCTTGAGCACGTCAGGAGTCTTATGCGCCAAATCCATCGCTCTGGTCGCCGTCATCGCCTTTTTTGCGTGGGAGTTTCGGTCATGGTATCGCCTGCGAAAGATCCCTGGGCCTTTCCTAGCCTCGATCTCAGTCCTTTGGCAATTGAAAAAGGCAATTGGGGGAACATATCATGAGCACCTGAATGATATTGCGAGGGAATATGGTGAGTGTACTTCTTCATTGCCATCGAGAAACTACGCCCGGTGGCTTTGGAGTTGCGATAGCAAGCCAACAAGCACCCCGAGAAACTGGAGAGACAGACGCTGATCACTGATCGTCGTCGCAGGACCCCTTGCTCGCATAGGGCCCAACGAGCTCCTCTGCACAGACCTGGACTCGCTGCGCAAGATGTCGGCTGTCCGCTCGCCGTACACCAAGGGCGACTTCTATGACTCCGGCCGGATCACTCCGGGCGTAGATAATGTTGTCTCGATGCGGGACGAGAACGAACACAAAGCTATGAGGGCGAGAATGGGACCGGCCGTAAGTTTCAGTTTCCTTTGTGGTCTTAGACTTTCGCTGTTGCTGGTCAATTCATGACCCCCAGAAGCGCTGCCACTTTTGAGTTTAAGTCCGCTAATTGCTCCCTCCGCGTTGCTGAAAAGTATGCCGCCAAAGAGAATGAAGGTTATGGCTTTGAGATCGGGATCGACCGCCAGCTCATGAATTTGGTCAGCCTGATAGACCGGCATTACGTTTCTACCGACTCGGAATTTTGTCCGCTGGATCTCGCCGAGAAGACACAGTTCTTTGCGCTCGACGCTATTGGCGATGTTTCCTTCGGTGGTGCATTCGGGTTTCTTGCAGAGGACCGGGACCTGTTTCGGTACATTGAGATCAACGAGTCGTCTTTACCGATCATGAATGTCGTTTCGGTGCTTCCTTGGCTTGGAAGACTTGTTCATAAGTGGCCTTTCAGGCTCATGTTACCCAAAGAGGATGACCAGATCGGCTTTGGTCGTTTGATGGGGTGAGTGAAGCCAATCTTGGGCACCATAAGTCTGGAAACTAACGCAAGGTAGCTTCGCTAAAAATTACGCTGAAATGAGACTTCAACCCGGCGCGAAGCCCCAGAAAGACATGATGCAAGCTTTCATCAACCAAGGTCTCGGTAAAGATGAACTTATCCAACTTGTGTACATTCACATGTCAGTCTCACCCATAACTTTGGTCGATTCTGGTGCTCATGCTATTTCAGGATCGCTGGCACAAACTCGGCAGCACAAGCCATGCGCATGACATTATTATCGTTAATTAACAATCCAGTTGCGTATCGTCGGCTCCAGCAGGAGATTGACGATGCCATTGCCGCTGACCTAATCAGCTCCCCCATCACCAATGCCGAAGCCCTTAGACTTCCATACCTCCAAGCGGTCATCCGCGAAGGCCTGCGTTTTTACCCTCCTGTCACTGGCCTCGGCTTCAAGCAAGTACCAGAGGGCGGAGATGTCCTAAACGGCTACTTTATTCCTGGCGGCACCCAGATCGGACACAATTTCTTCGGCGTCGGACGCTCACTCTGGGTGTGGGGTCCGGATGCCGATGTTTTCCGCCCAGAGAGATGGCTTTCGGCAAATGAGGATGATCTCAGACGAATGAACGCCGCAGTTGATTCTCACTTTGGCCACGGTAAATACTCTTGTCTCGGGAAACCGATCGCCGTGATGGAGTTAAACAAGGTCTTTGTCGAGGTAAGATTTTCCCTTATGTACTTTTCGTGTAGCGTCTTACTGACTTCATACAGCTATTGAGGAGATATGACTTCACCGTGATGAACCCAGAAAAACCAATCAAGACTCTCAGTGCGATTTTCTTTGTCGCCAGGGACTTTTGGGTGAGGTTGACTAGGCGTCCAACGAGGGAATAACGGACAGCCGGCTTCAATCCTTCTCCCGTAATCAATGACTGCTACGAATTATCGATGTTTTCTTCTCGTCACATCTTCTAGGGAGTGAATCTCCCACTTGAGGCAGTCTAGTGATACCCTTATCTTCCAATGGGTTTTATCAAGTAAGGGCTGCAACGCGGTATTTGTAATTGAAATAATGGATTGTTACACATACATGCCCATGTATGTATTGCAAGTTGTCCGGAATAAATCCGAATGATTGCATGTGGTCAATTTTCCAATATTTCTCGTCTGATGTTAAGCATACACACTCAGAATTGCTTCATAAAAAACGAGGAAGTTAGACAAGAAGAAAGACATAAGGCAGGGCATGATATCTAACGGAACTAAGCTTATACTTTGGTTACCCGGTTCTCCTTCCTACAAATAGATCCGCAACCTACAAGAAAGTCAATCGACTTCCCGCGACTCTTCTTAAGTACGATTATGGTCGCCAAAGACAGCACAGATAGGCACACAGTGACCCAGAACAACACAGTTCCCAGGTGATCTGACACGTAGTTCAAGAACTGCCCATCTGACCCATGCCACGAGCGTCCTGCCGCGTGGCCGAACAGCTTCCGGGCGTATCCCTCATCCAGCAACGCCACGCCGTGATGTAATGTGCTGTACATCCATGCGTACTGATGGAACGCATATGTGACCATTATCGGGCCTGTCGACCAGAATACCTGGAGGTAGGGAAGGAGGATTCGTTTCGAGGTCGCACCGCCGCGTCGCTTAGCTTCTTGGAGAGCCCATTCGAGAAAGGAGGAGCCACGCTGTGCCATGAAGAAGTGGTTGCTGAGTCCAAGAGTACTTGATGTTGGGGCAAAGACAGCCTGTAAGCCGAGGCTTTGAATACAGGACATCTCCTCGGTCGATCTGGGGTATACGTCCAAGTCTGCATACATGCCTCCCTCTGCATGGACAACTACCAGTCTTGCCACATCGGCTCGTTGAATATTCTGGGCATAGCCCTCGTACGTCGACAGTAACCAAGAATATTCTGTCTTTATAAGTTTGAGAACATCTTCGTCTGTCCATAATTTGACGGTATAGTTGAGAGGTTCCATCGTATGTTTCCACGTCTCGTATGAGGCTCTAACCCTGTATGTGCTCACATTGTGGTCCTTCCAAATCTGGTGAATAATTTTAGGAATGGGCTCTTGTGGTGGTTTTGAATCAATGGTATCTCGAAAGTCTTTCCCATGACGTTCAGAAGCATTACAGAGCCTAATGACCTCTATAGACTGGTTTGGGAGCGCGAAGTCGTTGGTGTAGCTGAGTTGATGGACAACCAAGGCGGCCGTCATGGCCAAGGTTACAAGGGCCGAGGCCTTCAACAGGACCTTTCCAGGGAGTGCTATCATCTTGGCCACCGACTATTTCTTCTTATGTTTTTGTCGAAGTTAATCGTCGATGGATTCTCGGGTATCGGACAGAACGAGGGAAAGAATCGAAGGGATACGTCGCTAAAGTTGAGAGTATATCGTGGAGGCAAAGAACGAAAAGACGAATGAGTATAGCTGGTGATGACAACGCTGGAGGCTGGTAGAAACAAAATGAAGTCGGGTATCAAGAAAAGATTTTCAGAAATCTGATCGTTTGCAGAACGCTAACAAGGCAACGTAAGTGAAGGATGAGAATAACACCAAACGAAATTCGTGTCTGAGATGCCTTTCTAGAGGGGAAGTTCGACTGAATGGTATCTTTTTAAATAAGAGAGGCTTCATGTGGCTCGCAGCACTCAGACAAAGACTTGAGAATACAAAATTCATTGTAAGTTCAACATTACCCAGGTACCGTTACAGGCTACTCCTAGGCTAGATGCATCTTGCTGTCCTGTAAAATGGGTCATCTTTCCTGACTCGACAAATCATCGTCACATATCCATTCTTCAGGTTTTGGAATTAGACTAATGGAGGTACAGGAAATGATGTTAGATACTCTTCCGTACCAGCCCCATCAAGCGGCTAATTGCATTCCTCATCACCTGTGACCTGGCTGCCTCCCCGTTCGCACCGGGCTTTGAAGATTGGCCATCATGACACTGAGTCGATCTCTTGGTGACAGCTTCGCCACAACCCTGTAGCTGTTAATGACCTGAGTGAAACCTCCTTTTACGACGATAGTGCTACTCACTTACGTATAGACGCACGTGGATGTTGGTGAACCAGGAGTGACAGCTCGTGTGGAAAAAGTGTGGTTCGTAAAGTTTTGCGGCGAATTAACCGTGGAACCAACAGTTAGGCAACAGTTTAACACATTCCTAGAGCGGAAAGGCCATGGTAGCCTCCCTGGCTCTGGGAGGGCTGAGCTCCAGATGAAGTCTTTTTGGTTCTGTCCCCCTGCATGAATGGCAAGCACTCGGCCAATGCGTTTGCGAGTTTGTCATAATTACTCCAACGGCGTTTCTTCGTGTTCGTCCTGAATATCTTGAGAAACAGATGTGTGTCAAAATCACTTACTCTATCTTGGCAATACATTTGAATGAGTTCGAAGCGTGACTCGAAGTCAATTCGTTGTCCATAGAACTCCAGCTCATGATCCAGGGCTAACTTTGAGGTCGAAGCACGAATGCCATTAAGACTCCGAGGCCGGTATCTCCGTAGCCTCATGCCTCATGGAGACTTAATCAATATGTGCCAAATGATCCTGCCGCAGAGCCTTACAGCAATTTGTAGGATTACTAACTGTGGACCATCTATATCCCGGAGTGGCAGTTGTCGCCTTGCGTTAAGCGCGCCCAAAGGTCCGCGACCTATTAGTACATTGTCCTCCACCCTCAAGGCAGCAGCATTTTGTACCGTCTCCGCACAAGGCAGCAGTATTTCTAAACAAAGAAAAGGGTAGCCCCGGCAATAAATGATTCTAGCGGTACGGTAAAGTAGAAGTTTGGAGTTAAGTTGACAAGCATCTTGATGCTCATAGCCAATCGGCTTCGATCTTACTCGGGCAACTGCCAGCAAGCGAACAGTGGGTTGTTACAGAACACGCATTGCCTACTTCGAATTTAGCCTGCCATGAGTATATGGCCAAGCTGAGATCAATTGCTTTCGGTATGGAAGGAATCCAATAGTCCGTGTGTATTTCATCCGTTTTCACGGAAGAGGCCGTGCGGCATGGCGAAGTTGCCTGACTTGGCCGTAAAAGGAAATCTATCTATGAGGCCTTGCCCGCGAATGACTTGCATGCAAGTGAAGTCTGATGTTTTCTTGAATAGGACTGTGGCACACCCATGGGATCAAGCTAAGGCTAGTGGGATCCATTTCTCAAAAGCGATGAGAGAGCATGATGACGACTGAGACACCCAAGTCACTATCTAACACTGATTGCCGTTTCCTGGGGATAGAATTGCGCAGAAGGAACGCTTTGGGAGTATGCGGATGCAAAGTAACGTTGCTACGGGTCCTTTCCAATCACATGCTGGTCCGTATTTATCCTAAGTGCTTGGGATGACACTTCCCCAGTTTCAATGCATAAAATGAGCTTACTACTTCTCATCACTTTGCGCCCACAACATTCTTAGTGCAGGTATCGAGGAAATTTACCTCGTGTTCACATAGGAGAACGTCCTAGTACATTTCACATGGCGGGTGTTATTTAGATTTGAAGATTTGTCTCTGATTGTAGAAAGTTACGGACAGAATGGAATGTATCTCCTAGGTAGCCAGATATCCCTACTATCAGGTCAGGTCTGGTGTCCGAGAGAGCGTTTCGTGGAATTTTAAATAAAGATCTCGAAGATGACAGAATGCCCACGCTTGCCTAATCACTCGAGCTTCTACCCATTCGAACGACTGCGAGAGTAGTCACCAAAGTTCTCTGTCTCCTCCGGCTTCGGAAGTTCTTCGCCAGTTTTAACCTCACTTCGGCGATGAAGAAACATTCAGAATCGTCCCCGTCTCCGATAGTGTTTTGCTGCGGAAGGAGACCGGAGCGGCTCGAAAACCCTTATCTCCCCCAAGGCAAGTGCCTCTACCACTTCGCGTCGACCCAGCAGTACCACTACATACTGACTTAAGGTTAGTATTGTGAAGTACCTTATCTGAACAGATTAAGTACCCGCCCACGCACTTTGACTGCTTGGCATTGCTCGGTCGGAATGGGCAGGAATTTCCTGCCGAAGGTCAGTACCAAAGAACCGTAAGCCCATAGGTTTCGGCTAACAAAACACTGATCTGATCCTCATTTCATTGGCGTAAGGTTACTCAAGGGGAAGTGGAATTCATTCTTGATCATTTCATCACAAATGAGTTCTGGAATACTGGTGCCTGGTTTGTCTTCCGGTAGCATGACCAAGCATACCTGCTGCGAACTTCCGTGATGAGCAATTGTCGCAGCACCAGACAGAATTTGGTCGCAATATCGGAGGCCGAGGGCAAGGCCCTGATAACAACACGGCATGTCCATCTTCTGACGCTCTTCTCCTCAGCAAGTTACCATATTTCACCTAAAATACAGGCCACATTCTTTTCTGCGACAAAGTTGGCAGAGCTTTCTCATGCGATGTGGAGGAAGTTAACTCCGGATGACCGGCTCGTGGCAGCTGCGTCTCCTCCACGGGATTCCTTGGTCTCTCGGCCATCGAGGAAGGTAGGAAGAGTACACCTACCACATCAATACTACATGTTCAGCGATCCGGCACTCACATAAGAGCTCGTGCTATAGAGCATCCAACCCCTTAGTGTCCCTTCGATAGTCGAGTCCTTCCCCAGAGCTTGAAGTGAAGCATATTGGTCCTACTCCGGCCGCGAGAGCTCCTACTTGCCGCCCGCTGTCTCAGCCCTAGTTGGAGCTGAGGTAACGGCACATATCTCGAGTCTGGGGATGAACCGCCAACATGCCGCGTTCGCTCACCCGACGACGAGAACATCAACGGTTCGCGGGCCGTTCCAGCAAAAGCCATGCAAAACATGGCATTCCCGGCACTCGGTAGATGAGCGATGTGCATTCTACTACCTTCAGCTCAAGTACCGTGGTGATGTTTGCAGTCTAGGCATCACTTCTTGGAGTTTGTGGCTTTCAGCTCTGTCTCAAAATGGATCGATGAGGAGAAATACTGGTAGCAAACGGCTCAGAGATGAAAGATTCGGAATGCAAACGTCGCAAAGCCAGCATCTAGTAGCTTCAGCTGAAGCAGTCTTGTGATTCTTCTCACCGCAATCGCATTTTTGAGCTCGGCAATGAAAGAGAGAGCTACTTGTCTCGATGCTTATAAATTATTGACGAACCTTGAGTCTGTGACATCTTCTATTCTCCCATTCCTCACTCAAACTTGCTTTGGCTAACTTACTACCTTCAAATCCAAACTGATCTTCTCCATCACAATCTCAGCGCAGCCATGCCTCCGAAATCTTCTCCGCCCGATCCCGCCCCCTTCCCTCTATCTTCCAAAGTGGATCCATGGATACAAACGAGCCTCGTCGAAAGTATCTTCGATGGCAATCTGACCCTCTTGCAAGAGGCTGTGAACGCAGCAACTGCCCAAGATATCCCGCAACTGCATGATTGGGGTATCAAGGACGCTGACACCTTTCTCCGCTTCCTCAGCGCCATGCTGAACTGGGTGCCCTCGGAAGTGTGCAGCGGCAAGCTCATCTATAACACATTCTGCGTGCTCTATTTCATCCTCGACCAGAGGCCCATCAACATCCCCCCGTACTCGACACCCATCACCCCGAACGCTATCGGCCAGGCTCCCCTACCACTGAGCCAATGGACAATCGACTTTGCCAATAAGGTTGGAAGCTGGATGGACACCAGCAACTCGATCAACGCCGCAGCAATCCAGACTTTCCAAGACTCACCCCGATACAACTACGATGAGGCGATCGTGCCATTTGGAGGTTGGAAGAATTTCAATCAGCTCTTTGCTCGCTTGCTGAAGCCTGGTATGCGGCCTATCAGCGCGAGCAATCCCGAGGACCCAGACTATAATCGCCTCGTTGTCTACCCCGCTGATTGCGTTTTTGACGGTGCCTGGCCCGTCAACCAGAACAACGACATCATGATCAAAGACGTCCCTTGGAACATCAAAGACCTTCTATCCGGCAGCCAGTACGCCGAAGAATTCGAGGGCGGCACCTTTATGCATGCGTATTTGAACACCTACGATTACCATCGCCAACAAGCACCTGTGGCTGGAACTGTCGTCGAGGCCAACGTGATCAAGGGCCTGGCGTACTTGCAGGTCATCACCGATCCCGAAACCGGCGAGCTGAAGCCTCACCGTAGCTACACTTCGCCAGGTGCTCAAGCAACAAAGAAGTTGGGTGATGGAGAGAACAGCACTCTTAGCATGCCCGACGAGGCCGGGTACCAGTTCCTTCAAGCCCGCGGTTGTGTCATTATCAAGAACTCCCTTCTCGGATACGTCGCTGTGCTGCCCATCGGTATGGCCCAGGTTTCCTCGGTAAATCTTGTGTGGCAGCCTGGACCGGGTGAACAATACCCGATTCAGCCGAATGTGAAGATCAACAAGGGCGAGGAGATATCACACTTTGAGTTTGGAGGTTCCGACATCATCCTTGTATTCCAGCAGGATGCTCAGGTTCACATTCTAGGTGCCCAAGGTAAGGCTGCGGATGGCACACCTACAAGCAAGCAGAAGTACTTGGTTGGCATGCCCTTGGGTTATTCGACAAAGGGCCTCGTTCCCTCTTCGAACGGTCTCAGAAACGGAGCTACCAACGGGCGTCAATAATTCAATGAGAGTCTCATACAGCTTCATCCGGCTGTATTGCCTGTATTCCTCGATTTCACAAGGGGTTGTATCGTGTCATATTTTCCCGATAGCTCTACTTAGTTGTGATAGTAATAGTTTCCTTCATGCTCGCTAATGCCCCTGCTATTGCAATAATCACGGAGTCTGTTCTGAAGTGTGCACTGAATACTTGTATGTTGGGAAACGTTCTATGTAAGTTTTGTATGAATATGTACTTGAATAGGGTCAGTAGCTCCTCACAAGCTAGCTAGGTCTAAGGAGTCCTTGCTCGCGAGCGCACTTTTGGCTCTAAGTGTACCCCCGTACCTCAGCAACATTGGAGGTACAGCACACAGAACCGTGGCTAGAGTAGCAAACACGGAAGTTGCGACATTCAAGTCCAGCGAGTCAAACAGTGCTCTCCCTAAGAGAGGGAAAGTGGCACAGAGTGTCGCTCGAGAGAGTGACAAGGCGGCAAATGCGCTGGCAGAGTATGTCTGATAGGAATCGGTGAGATATCCAGCCAAGACGTAGTCAAACTCATTGACCGCGTAGCCTATCGGTACGAGAGCTACCGTCGGGATAGCCCAATGTGTCGATGTCGTGTATGGTGGGATAGTCCAGGCAAATACCCACAGGAAGATAGCTAACAAGACCGAACCGAGGATGAATCCTGTGAATTTCGACTCGGGAGTGAGTGGTAGCGACCTCGACATCCTTTCGGCGAGGACCCGACGATCGTAGAGACGTGTGAGCCCGCTGAGGACCATACCGATCGCGAGAGGGAGGAAAGGTAGGTTCATCGATGCGTCGGTAAAGCCCATGTCGACGTAGACGAGGGGTAGGACCTCGGTGAAGAGGTAGACGAGCCCAAAGGCGATGGCGCTAGTTACGGCGGCGAGGAAGACTATTGGCTCGGTGAAGAAGAGTCGCAGGGGGCGGAGGAGGTCGAGTTTCTCGTGGGTTGAAGGGAACACCTTGCCCGGTGGTGTGGCGTGGGTACTTGGGCCTTGGACTTTGTTGAGTGCCTGGGCCCTCGCTAGTACGACGGAGGGACGAGACTCCCTGATTGTGAGGAGCAGCATCGTGACGCATGCTGTGACTATGGCCGCAGTGTGAAACACCCACGTCCTATGGGGTCCGTGATCAGTTAAAGTGCACTCAAGCTGAGTCAGACATCATAGTCATACCAGTGAGTGCTTCTCATGACCAAGTCACTGAAGACTGGCCCCGTCAATATCCCGAGGTTCGCGACCAGTGACCACCAGTACAGCCACCATACCCGCGCATTGGTGTCCCAAAGATCTTCGATGCTGCCCGTGGCAACAATGGTAGGGACAGACGATAACAGTCCACCGATGGAACGACCGACAACGATGCCAGGAATTGTGGGCACCTTGCCGACGAGGATGCATGACAGGCTGTACAGGCCGGTGCTGATTACGTAGAGTTTCTTACGGCCAAAGGACTCTGACCAAGGTGGGAAGAAGACTCCTCCGATAGCCTGGCCGATGAGATATCTATGTGGCAATGTCAGTGATCTGGGTATTGGAACACGCTTCCTCCTTTTCATCTGACTTACGTTGAAACAAAAATGCAAGTCGCTGCAACTGGGCTTAGGTTAAGATCGCCGTAAATGTGTCCAGCAACTGGTGACTGTTGAAGATGTCAGCATCAGCATTCAAGTACAAGGTAACTGAGAGGACGAACTCCTGCGGTGCTAATCATGGTGCTTGAAAATGTTAGCTATGATTCTCAGACTGTAAGACCATGTTGACATACGTGAAAAATTCAAGAAAGACAATCAAGCACGTATCATACGCCTTCCGCGCCTGGCTCCATTGCCTGGGATGAACGTGCTCCTCCGGCGTCCACGAACCCTCACTCCCAGAGCAAGGGGTAACCGAAATCTCAACATCTATCTTTGGATAGTCCGGCGTCGTGGATGTAGAGGCAGTAGAAGGCGCAGCTGTCAAATGAAGGAGAGACATATCGAAGGCGGCATGTGGCGTACTCCTCCTTGCTCCGAAATCATTGCGGCCGGCCATGCAAGGATTTTTCTCACACTCTGTCAAGATGCTCTGCCCGGACGTTAAGATGGAGAACCACAGAAGACGTCAACACAAAGGATTGCAGCCCTGATATATCAACATTGCCCACGTTTGCGCCAAGGAGGTGTGGAAGCGTGCTTGTGCCTGTCGGGGGATCTAGTGCGGAAACCAGTCCACGCCGTCCAAACAAAGGCATTGGATGGTGTTTTATTCGGAGTGGCAGGTCTCGACCCAGTCTAATAAGACAGAAACCGTTTGCTTACCGCAGTTCTGGGGATTAGTTGGACCAAATCGAGGCATTTAATCGGCATCTGAGCCAGGGCGTGAACAAGGGAATTCTCCCGCAGACCTTGTCCTTCCAAGAACATAAGGCCAGGGCTCCCCCATGCCTGTCATTACCGCCTTTACCGGGCCTACCAATTGTGAAAGGAGGGGAGACAAGAAGCTCCGAGCATCGACGGCTCATGACTTGTTCACCTCTCAAGTAAGGAGAAATCTAGACTGGGCACGACATGCCACGACAACTCGTCTCCGAACCAATCGCGTCAACGACTCACATTTTCACCCTTGCAATTCGCTTAGTCTGCTTGCAGTCTAGATGGGGTTCAAAGCCTTTTCAGCCACCCCGTCTCAAGCCAAACCGCCTCGGAGCTGGAGTTTAGTTTCCCAGGGGGGACCAGGAACAACACACCCAACTTCACCCAGCTTGCCAGCTTTCACCCAAACTTCACCCAACCCAAGAAAAGGAGGCACCCAATCTCCCCAGACCAACGAGACATGGGGCGTCCCCTTGGCGCGACCCGGCGGCACGGTACCAGACACGCTAGAGGGTCGTGCGTCTTGCGCGATTGGCTCTGGCGGGTTTGCCGGTCCTCGAGTCCTCGTGAAGGGGGCGCCACAAGCGTGTGAGCCGCCCCAGGGACTAGGGCTCTTTCGGTAGAGATGCAAGTCTGGGCTGAGCTGAGCTGCTCTCAGCTCGAGGCAATGTTGAGATCTGCCGAGAGTCATTGGGCAGACTTACTTAGGAGTCTCTTGCTCAGGAATCTAGGGCCAGAATCTGAATACGAGGACATGAGGAATGGGATCGGAAGACAGCAAATAACTCTTGGGGAACGTTCAGCTTGCTCTGGTCGCCAAGGAGGCGATGTTGGATTACGAACTCGAAAGTTCATCGTGTTAATTTGGGATAGAGTGAAAGGTACTGAGGTCGCACAGTGGAGAGCAATGTTGTTGGGGTTGTTAACATTCGGCATCATAATTGCAACAGAGCGGCGTTGAAACCAGAGAGGATATGACCAATAAATTGAACCTTTCAGGGCACCCGGCATTGTGTTTGTCTGCCGGGACGGCAGTCCGAAAAAAGATTGACTCCGCCACCTTCATTGCAGAATCGGGCATGCTTGTCGCCTTTCCCCTTGATGTTTGTTGGTTTCTACCTATTCGTTCATCTAGCTGTGGGGTCATAGTCTTGTCGGTTGCCATGTTGCCTTTGACCAGTGATATTTGCGTTTGCGTCCCGAGTCTCGACTCTCATTACCTTGTTTGTTCCTGGAGGCTTCGCGCGAACCGTTGGCTCCTCGCCGGCAACAAACAACATATCACAAGTTCGGGACAAACGGTGGTGGAGTCGAGGACGCAGAGATGACAGAAAACGAATTTAATCTGATTGCTCCCCCGTAAACCTCATCAGCACAGGTCACCAACATGCCCTCCCCCAACGTGCCGATCCCGTTGGCTCCCGTAGTCTCCCGCTCCCGTGTACACCGAGTCCGAGTCCCCCTTCTCTCTATCGTACAACCACATCAATGTCACCATCCACACTGTCCAGCTCCCTCTCAAACGTCATCTGGATATCCACAACCTGCTGTAGCTGCTCACAGTCCAACCTCCGCTTCTTGTGCGCAGCTAGACTCTTGGCCGTCCGGACCACGTTCTTAATCTGGCGTCCGTTCAACTTGCCCTCTGCGAGCTTCTCATACCCATCCTCGTCAATGTCCACACCGCCCTCGACGTTGCCCAGGAAGTTCTTCCACACCTTCAACCGGCTCTCGCGCGGTAGGTCATCATACTTAAGAGGCACGTGAATACGGCTTTTGAAGGCATCGTCAAAGGTTCGTACGCGGTTGGTCGTCATGAAGAGAATACCGCTATAGTACTCCAGTGTGCGCAGGAAGATAGACACGAGACTGTTGCGCTCCATATCGTGCAGCGAGCGACGCTCGAGGAAGACGTCGGCCTCGTCAATGAGAAGTACCGCCTTCCAGGTGCTCGCCAGATCGAGCGTCTTGGTCAGCTTGTCGTCCAGGACCGCTGACGAGGTACCGAGGTCGCCCGAAGAGACGATGTACAGCGGTCGACGGCTGAACTCGGCCACGCACTCCGCCGTCAAGGTCTTTCCTACGCCAGGCGGACCATGCAAGACGAGAATGAGGCCCTTGCCCTTACCCTTGACGATGTCATCAAACGCTGACGAGTTCGGATCGGTGGTCCGGGCGGTGTGCTCGGCGACGAGAGCCTGCACGAGCTCCTTTTGAGAGTCTGGGAGGACAAGCTGCTCGAAGCATCGCGTGTTCCACTTGATTGGGCTGATCTTGTCGACGAAGAAGTCGAGGAACTTCTTCTCGGTGAAGCTGAAGCCGCGGACCATGGGGCTGGCCAGCAGGCATTGCTCGTCGGTCAGGGGCACAAACTCGGCAGTTTCCTTCGGAACGAGTTCCATGTCGTCGCTCTCATCGTCCTGCTTCCGCTTCCGGCCTGCTGCCTTGGGAAACGAGTTGACATTGAAGGCGTAGTCGGCCATGATGCGGTGGTGCGTCTCCGCGTCGACCATGACACGGCCGTCAATGTTGAAGCGGCGGTTGCGGGGATCCAACGCCACGCCCTTGTACTGGCGGAAATTCTGGCCGGCGAGAGCCTCCCATCGTCGACCACGCTCAGTAAGAAGATGCG